TGATAGTCCTTCGAAAAAAGTATGTAAATAATCCACGCTTACAGTCATGAAAGTCATTTAATAAAATCGTGCGGGTTAGTGAGGGGTTTATTTGAATATTATTTCCAAAACTTTGACAAACTGATTAGAATTTCATTTATGCCACCTAGTTTCGTCTGGCTTTTAAGCCAAAAAGGGTCACCTATGTAAATATATGAGGTCAATTAGAATTTTTATTAAGCACCCTCTTGATACAAGTTTTTCTGTTTTTTGCATATTTTGCTCAAAGGTATAATCAATTGTCGTGTATAGTTTTTTTCCACTTTTGCATCGTTATGTCAAGCACTTAAATTATGGTTGAAGTGAGCACTTAATTGTCAATTGCAATTTGTATATAACCCAACACACAATTTTAAAACGAAACACACCCTTTTATATAAAAATTCTCAACATATTCTCTACCATTCTTCTCACTGGGTATCGCGTGTGTATGTGGCTAACAGACACACAAGAATAAACTTCAAGTTAATACCAACCACTTGAAGACGACCACAAATTATCAATGGGGTTCAAGTGAGGTTTCGTCGTCGTCGTAGTTGTCATCGTCGTCATCATCATCGGCACCTACTTTTGATTACTAAGTCTGTTTTTGCGTTAAGTGTGACTTGGAGAACTCACGTTTATGGTCAAACATGAATGAGGTTTCATTATGACAATAATGTTTATTACTAACAAACGTACTTACATACACACAATCACGCTTATATATTGTGTAATGCTGACGAATGGAGGAAAAGAATAACAAACAATAAAAGAAACCAAGAATGAAAAATTGAAATAGAACCAAACACAAGTAGGTGGCGTTGTCTCGACCAAATCACATTTCAATGTTAATTACCAGCAATGATAGCTTAGAGAGTTAAAAAATTAGAATCTGCGGCGTACTATTTTCAGAGGGTCTCGGAACAACCAGCAATTGTTGTTTCCCCCTTAAAATCTAGATTCATACAAATATGGGGTTATTAGACAAAACTACAACAGCGGATACAAACTCATTGTAAAGCTACCGTCTGTCAATCTGTCGGCATTTGTTTATTAGCACTTGATTTTCTGTGTGTTTTGTTTAACAGCAAAATGTGAAGATCTAAACACTGAGTAGGAGGAGTACAAGTTGGGGTAATTATGATCTGGATACCCTTAATTAAAGGTAAAGTGGCTGAAAGCTAAGTTACGTTGGCCAAACACACAAAAACACAGCAGTTGGTCCAGAAGCGGCAGCAGTGAATACCCAGCTGGAGACTTTACAAACTAAAGTAGACAATTTATGAGGCCATTTACAATTGTTGTTGTTGTTGTTGCTACAGTAGTAGAAAATCCTACTTTACCTTTTTTATTGGCTTTTAGGCTATGAGCTCTTTTTTATAGTAGGTCACCATAAAATGTTGCTAATTTATATGTCAAATGAACTTAAAATTTCTGAATAAATTTACCTGAGCGCATTAGTTTTGTTTAAGATTCAGCATATTTTTGTTGGTTTTGTTGTTTGCTTGAATTGAGTATCTGAAAAGATAATTAAGATAGAGTAGTTTTAGTTAGTGAAGATGGAAATATTTTTGATTGTAAGAAAACTATCTTGACAGGGCGATTAAAAGTTTATATCTTCACTCTAAAAAGTATTTAAATCAAAATCGCACTTCTTCTGTTTATAGACATCTTCTGTCTACAGACGTCATATAGAAGTTCTTCCGTAAAGTTATTTTTATGTCAAATTGATTTTAAATCAATAGAAGGCCGTAACTTTCTATAGAAAATTTGCAGAAGGTCTATATAAAAGACCTGTTAAAGGTTTTTATTATAGAAATCGACTCGAAAACCTTCATTTTATAAAGGCCTTTAAAATTATTGTTTTTTTTTCAAGTTAAGGAGATGATTTGTCTAATGTAGCCTGTCCTAGGGGATTGCCATTTATTGTTGCCTAGAAACAACGTCTCTTTGAATTTTATGTTGTGGTCGCGATTCCTACTTATGTAGTGTTGCCATTTTCCTCTGGGTGGCACTGAATTCAGTCATTCCTATTTTTTGTGTTATGTTGGTTTAGAGATTAGCTGTTAGAATGCCGGGAGCATCTGGCATTTTCTGTATAATATTAAACTAGACTCTTGATTATAAATCGAATGGCAGTAAGGCCTATAGATAGATCATGGGAATAATTTAAAAAATATATGCTTGTATCTATGATAGTGTACAAAAAAAAATTTTCGAAAATATAAAATAAAATATAAAGATCTTCGTAAAAATAATTTTCAAAATTGTTTATATATTTTTTTTCTTTCTCAAGTTTGTACCCTTAAACGTATAGGACTTCTACAAACCATAGCAATTTTTTCGATTAAACCTTATTATTATTGTTCTTACAGAGATGATTGGTCTGATGTAGGCTGTGCTAGGCTAGAAGTAACGCCTCCGTGAATTTGGTGCTGCCTACAAGTAACGTCTCCGTGAATTTTGTACTGTGGTCCTTACTTATGTAGTGTTGCCTATTTTCTCTAGGTGGCGCTATCCTCAACCATTTTTGTGTTTCAAGTATTCGAAATTATTTTGGAAAAATGGTTTTCTATATTTTTAAACCAGATTTGAAGTAGATGTAGAATTTTTCGCCCGGCTGTATATGATGATGATAAGCTGCTCACGATAACCTATAGATCTTCTAGACTATATGCTTTTATTGATTAAGGAATAATTGTAAAGAGCTTTCTAGGCTATTTGATGGACCTCTATACTACACTACCGATTTTTTAAAGTATTTCGAAAGAATATTTTAAGTTGAGGGACCTTCGATGCTATAATCGTGGATTTCAGAATCATTTTTTAAAGATCTTCAACGGGTTTGAAAGATTTTTTTTAAATGTTATTAAAAAATGTTTGTGAAGAACTTTCTAGGCTATATCTGCAGATTTTTTGAGATCCCTTAGACTACACTAGTGATTTTTTCAAATAATATTTGTCAAGGATTTTCTACGATATGTGTAGTTGTTAAAGAACATTTTAAGTTTTTGAAAGTTCTTCAAATGTATATTAAAGAACCTTCTAGGGCACGCGAAGTTGTTGATAATATTCAGAGGCCTTCAAAGATGATAAGACATTTTTGGAATAACTTTAAGGGATTTTTTAAATAATATTTTTGAATGACCTTATATACCTTCAAGAATTATTTCGATAATATTTTCGAACAAAATTCTATAAATTGTTTAGGAACATTTGTAAAGATTCTTCTAGGCCAGTTGTGGATTTTTTGAGGGGCCTCTAGATTAAGTAATTTTTTAAAATAATATTTTTGAAGGATCTTCTTCGATGTAATCGTGATTTGCTAAGGAATACTTTTGTAGGAAATTTTAGGATATATTCCAAAATAATCTCGTTTTTTAAGAATCTCTTTTTTAGGAGCGTTCCTTTGTACATTATTCAATTAAATAATTTACATCAATACTCCTTGTTCAGATGCATTTTAGCCCATGAAATAATTCATGCCTATGATTTTTTTCATATTATCTTTGATCATGAATGCAATTATGATAATCTCGGCCCAAGGGTGGCCCATTATTTTGCACCTCACTTAAAGTGTTATACACAGAGTACACGGTCTGATATTGCATCGGGAAAATATTGCTGACATTAATGGATTATGTGTAGCTTTTAACTGTTACCAATCCATTAATGAGAGGGTTATGGCATAACATCTGTTCGTAGATTTGTTAAATAATATTTTTGAAAAACTTTCCGGAATATAATCCCGGATTTTTAAAACAATATTTTAATAGGAACTTATGTTTAGGAACTTTTTAGCCTATAGTTGTGTGTTATATGAACCTCCAAGGCTAAAATGTTCTCGATGGACCTTCTGAGACAAAATTACATACGTTTACAGATTATTTTTTAAGGTCCATCTGTGTTATTGTTGTAAAATTTCGAAATAATATTACTGAAGGACATACTTGAATTTATAATTTTTTGTTGGCCCTTCTAAGCTATAATCGCAAATTGTTTTAAAAAATATTAAACTTCTAGGCTAGAATTTGTTAGAAATAATTTAAAGGCTATTTTTGAGGTACGTTCTAGACTACAATCGTGGATTATTTAAATAATATTTTGGAAGACTAATAGTGAGTGGCGAGTTTTTAAAGAAGGTCATTTTAGGATGTTTAAAATATATTTTTCAAATCATTCAAGGGATGTTTAAATAATATGTTTGAAGGAGCTTCTAGGCTATAATCATGGATTTTTGTGAATATTTGTGAAGGGTCCTAATCTATATTAAAAAAATATTTTGACGGATCATCCAGGCTACAAGACGCATTTATTAGCGGAAGGACCTTCCTAGCTAAAATTGTATATATTTAAGAATATTCTAGGCTTTTAATTCCATTCTTTGAACATATATTTTTGAACTTCTAGGCTTTATTAATATTTTATTATTAAATATGTATATTATTATTATTACTTTTAATATTTCTTTATAAACATTGGTCATGTTAACCATGTTCCACTGCATTTTGTTGATATTCCTTATCAATTCTGTATGCGTTTTACAAGGGTCAACGTAATGATTTGTGCCATAGTTTCACTGTCAGCTGTCGTTCAGATCTTTTGTTTCAGTTTCAATTTTTATTAGAGATACGAATTAAATACATACATATATAATAAAAATGCGATAATAATATGAAATTACAATAATAACAACAATGGACATTTGTAGTAAATACAAATTAAAATAAAACAAATAGTAGAAAAAAGAAGAAGAGCAACAACAAAACAAATTTTGATAAACCCAACATGAAAAAAGATTAATAGCCAGTGAAGAGGAACATACGAAGAGATTGTTCGCCATGAAGATGAAATGAAGTCGAATTGGATGTGTCTTTTAGAATAGCTATTTGAGATTAGTATAAAATAGGGAGTGACATCTGCTGGACATAAATACCGAGAAGAAAAAAAAAACGAAAGAAAATTAGAAAAAAATAGTGATGTTCGGTTGGAGAATTTTCATATTTTTAATTGTGACATTTTGTTATGGCCCAGAATTGGTCCAGGCATCTGTGATAAATGTGAATAAATTCTATGAAAAATTAATAAAGGCCAATGTAAATGAGAGTGTGGATCCATGTGAAAATTTCTATGAATATGCTTGCGGCAATTGGCATCGCAATTATGATGATGGAAAGGGTGATTACATCGATATGCCTGGGTATATGGACTACAAAGTAAATCAGCAGTACAGGGAGTTATTGGAAAAGGGAGAGGAAGACAGGAAATGGAAAACGGGGATTTTTAAAAAAGCCAAGGCCTTATATGATGCCTGTGAAAATGTGGAACATTTGGTATTGAATCAATTTCTGGCCGCCGTGGAGGAGGAATTGCAAATGGAATGGCCCATATTTAGTATAGAGAGTGAAGAGGAGTGGTTAAATGTCACACGATTTGATTGGTTACATGTTTTGGCCGTGCTGAGACGTTATGGCATGAATGGGATATTTCTCACCCACAATGTCAATGTTAATCCCCGCAATAGTAAGGAATATTTTTTGGAAGTTTCACAACATTATGATGGTTCGGTACTTTTGGAATCCGAAGATGTGGAGAATATTTTTATTAATTTTGGTATGGATCACAATGCAAGTCACCAGCTGACTGAGGAAATAATGGAGTTTGAAAGAGCACTTAACGAACTGGCAAAGATTGTATATTTAAATGAAACTGATACCCGAAACTATGCGGATAATTTTCAACAAATGAAGCTGAAGGAATTGCAGGAAAGTGTGCCGGAAATTGATTGGTTGAAATATTTTCAAATTGTTTTGAATGAAACCAGAAGGGAATATTTACAAAATTTAACCATACAAACATTTGCAGTGACTCCGGAATTTTTCTCAAATCTCAAGGAACATTTGCAGTCTTATTCTAATGAAACAATTGGCTATTATATAATGTTGAAATTTATGTATTATATAAATGGTAATCTTCCACATGGCAGTCAAAGAAATTGTATAAAATATGTTCGCAGTTTTATGCCAGTTTTTATGAACTACCTTTATGAAGAGACACTTTTTAAAAATAAGCGCCAGGAAATTGAGGAGAGCCTACAGAAAATGTTTCAGAATTTGAAAAATTCATTTGAATCATTGGTTAAGGAAAATCACTTGAAACTAGACTCCCAAGAACAAAATTTTATTCTCAAAGAACTACATCACATGCAATTGAAAATTGGCAATCTACCACGTAACTGCAGTGAGGATTTTGTGGAGAACTTCTACAACGACTTAAAAGTGAATAGCAGCAATTTTATCGACACGCATTTGAGTGTTTTAAAATTTATGAATGAATTGCATTATCGATATTTGGAACAAAAATCCCTACCCATTGCCGATAAGGTGTATCATTTCGATACCAGCTCCCTCAGTTCCTCATCTCCAGTGAAAATCTTCGACAATGCCATATTGGTGCCACATGGCTATCTCCAATTACCCCTCTATGACACCCAACTAAACCACCTACATCAATACTCCCTGCTCGGTTTCATTTTGGCCCACGAAATTATCCATGCCTATGATTTATTTCACATTATCTATGATCATGAAAGTAATTATGATTATCTCGGCTCCAAGGTGGCTCATCATTTTTCACCACATCTAAAGTGTTATTCGCAGAGTACTCGCTCGGATATTGCATCGGAAAATATTGCAGATGTTGCGGGGTTGCGTGTGGCCTATAATTATTATCAAACCATTAGCGATGATCATGGCATGAAATTCCCATTTCTCCATCTAACCAAGGATCAGTATTTCTTTGTAAATTCTGTGCAGTTTTTATGTGCTGATATTTATAAAATAGCCGCCTTGGGTCTGGAGACTACGGCGGATTTAGCCCATGACATGCATGATAAGCGAGTGCAACAGAATTGGTCGAAATTTGAGGAATTCTCATTGGCATTTAATTGTTCCCCCAAATCGAATATGAGTACACCAGTTGAATCGTGTAGGATTTGGTAAAAATACACATTTATTTTTGACAATGTAGATATATAGGTTTATGAAATTGTTCATATATCTTATTTAGAAATAAAGAATTAAATTTAATAAAATATGTTTTTTTTATTTATTAACTGATTATAGTGGAGTTAAGAGGATTATAGTGGAACCGTTTTAAATTAATGCTGTATTTAAGGATTATTATGTACTAGTTCTTAAAGAATGATATCGGATATTGTTAATTTTTTTTGTTAGACGTATTGAAAGGCCTCATTGTTCGACAATGTGAAAATGCTATTCATTAATTATACCCTACACAACTATTTTGTCAGGGTATTATAGCTTTGTGCAGCCCCAAGAGTTTGTAACGCCGCGAAATATTGGTCCTAGACCCACCTTTAAGTATACCGATCGTCATATCTCGACTAGCTGAGTCGATCTGAGTGATAATTTGTAAACACGATACATGCCACAATCTTCACGGTTCTGGCCAATGAAGACCCCTATTGTTTTTGGTAAGGATCGGCTAATATTTAGTGGATGAAATGAACCAAAAACTTTATTTTTGTCTGATTTTCTGGTCGCTCCAGGGGCCGCAATTACGGCCCAAACTTCGCGAATTTTTACATGGAAAAAGGAATCGGGCCAAATTGATAAAGATCGGTCAATATTTAGCGGGTCAAATGGACCCTGACTTTTGTGTGAAGGACATAGACCCGAGATGTTGATAGTATACCCAAGAGGAGTGGTTAAATTGATACCGATTATATTGTCGTAAGTACTCGGATGTGGGAGATACATTTAAATATTTACAGGTGCTTACGTATTCATATATTATTTAGTAACCCATTACCACACAAGATGGCGAAAATATAGCGCCGATCGCTTTGAAATTTTCCATGAGGATCCGGGTATGGTTAAGGACAACGCCTAGAAATTTCGGTGAGGATCAGATAATAATATTGGGATGAGGTGGACCGAAAACTAATTTTTTGTGTTTTTTTTTTCGAGTCGATATATAGGCCACAAGTGAAAGCCGAACATCAAAACACAACCCACGGTGAAGGGAATCTGGACAAGTAATTAGAAGGGCTGTACTGAATATTAGTAATATTTGTTGACCTCTAGTCGGTCAAAAGGGTGCAAATATCGCGAAAAATTGCTCAAGATCAGAATATAAAACTACAGAATGTTATAATTTCGTGGAAGTTGTGTAGAGTACCATATGTTCGGCCCCGTCCGACTTTACTAATTAATCAAGGTCTCGGAATACCAAATTACTGTAATTTTGTAAAGATATTGTCAACTGGAAATACGCCTAGAAAAATCAGACTACATATTAACAAGCAAAAAAGGCGTTAAGTTCAAAAAGTGGACCTATACCGACAATTCCACAAACCGATTTACGTAAACCATTATGTACAGCAAATAAGAATTTCAGCGATTTTTAATGGGGATTTTTAATAAAATCTGAAAACCTCAAAACGTGAACCGATATTGATAATGCATGTTAGAGTGGAACATGTGTATAAAATCCTCAAACTACTGCAATTTAGAGTGTAGTGTTGTATGAGGTTATGCCTAAAAGGGGACCAATATTGATTACATAGCTAGAAATTAGCGAATATTTGGGGTTATCATTATATGAGGGGTTATGCCTAATTAATGACCGATAAAGCTCAATTTCGAAACCAAAATATTGGTTTCTAAATTGAGCTTTTTGTATCAGGATATATCATTATATGGGGGAGATGAATAAAAGGTCGCCGATATATGTCATACTATGGTAGAATACGCCAATTTTTGGGACGAATATTACAAAATATAAAATTACAGCGAATTCGGTTGAAAACGCGCTCAAGAACCCCAAAATACCGAAAATTAGAGGGTCCCCTTATATGAGGGCTACCCGAAAAATGGACCTATATTTATATTTTTATTTTGTAGAGAGATTTGCTACCCAATAAGAACTCCAAGTACGAAATTACAGCCATATGAGTCGAATACGCTCAAAAACCCCAAAATACTGAAAATTGGGGGTAACATTATAGTGGACCTATGTTTATAATTTTTAGTGGAGACATTTGGTGCCCAAGTTGAACCCATTGTATTGTATCGAATTTATTTGAAAAACGTTCTCAAGAACCCCAAAATACCGGAAAAAATTGACATATATTTAGTGTAGAGATTATTTATCCAATAAAAACTCAAAGTACTAAGTTACAGCCATATCAGTAGAAAAATACGCTCAAAAACCCTAAAATACTGAAAAGTGGGGGTAACGTTATATGGGGGCTACCAGAAATAGGGGACCTATATTTATAATTTTTAGTGGAGAAATTTGGTAACCAATAAGAACCCAATGTTCCAAATTTTAGCGTATTCGGTTGAAAAACGCGCTCAAGAACCCCAAGATACCGAAAATGGGGGTACTGTCATATGGGACCTATGCCTAAACGTGGACCGATATATCCCATCTTCGAATTTGACCTGCCTGCAGACAAAATACAAACCTATGCAAATTTTCAGCAGCCTATCTGAATTCCTTCAGAAGATAGCGTGATTATAACAGACGGACGGTCGGACGGACTGACGGAGGGAGGGATCGTCTTAGAATTTTACCCTGACCAAGAATATATATACTTTATAGGGTCGGAAATGAATATTTCGATGAGTTACAAACGGAATGACAAATTTAATATACCCTCCATACTATAGAGGAGGGTATAAAAAACTAGTTTGGAAAGCATGCCTAGGCCTTAAACTTGCATTTTAAAATAATATTTTCGAATAATCGTGGATTTTTATGTATATTTTGTAGTATGTAGAGCATAGTATTGGGTTATTTAAGGGATATTTTTTAATGATATATTTAAGCAATAAGCACGGTTTTTTAAAAGTAGAGATATCTAGTTCGTTATAGTTGTGTTTTAAATAAATTTTAGGAAAAAATCTAGTAAAAAATTCAGATTTTTTAAAGAATGTTTTTGAAGGGATATATTGGCCATTATCACGATTTTAAAGAATATATCCGAAGGGGCTTCTTGATCATGTTTGTGGATTTAATCTGGAGGAATATCTCGGTAAAAATCGACAAGCTGAATCGGTCAAAAAATATTTGCCGATAGCAATAAGATTTTGCTTCCGGTCAAGAACGACATTTATAATTTTTTATTATGATCGGTTAATACTTAGGAAATCAAGTGGTCGAGCATTGATAAAAACATTGCCGATGTATGGAAGAGATACCTTCCATACATACTTTTACATTGATGTTGGGCTATACGTAGATTTCACAATTTGCGGTCGGATATTTACAGGAGTATACGTATTCCAATATACTTCACAAAATACGCAGATGTGGGCAAATTCCGCAAATTTTTATCCAGACTGAGAATTTGTTTTAGTCTAGTTGTAGTTAATTAGGTGTAGTAACCCTAAATTGAAAATGGGTTGGAATATTTGCGTTCCTCTAACTTTTTCTGTAGGACTTTCAATGTCCACATGCACATATGCACCACATAATTTGTGAACTAAACAACGACCATTCTTTCCACACCATATTAAATTTTCCCAAGTAAATCACAGGAAACCATAACCAGTCTGTCTCATTTTCCATTCACTTATTTAGTTGTTTCCAATCAGTAACTCTCTTAGCTACAATTATTTGTTACTTGGACTCCAACAACAACAACATCAACATCGATTTTCAAATTATTACTCATAACATATTGTTTTTGAAGATTTATCATCGACAACGTTATTAGACCATTTATTTAAATTAATTGAATAGCAAGTCGGGACAATTGTCGTTTTCATGATTAGTATTAATTATAGACATCTTAAGCGAATGACTGTCTGTCCATCTGTTTTGCCTATAACAACAGAAAATTGCTCCCAAATAGGCAATGCCAACTAAAATGTAGAGAAAGAAATTAAATGAATGAGAAAAACATGGATTTAATTGAACAAGCGGTCAATAATCGGTTGAATGTTACAGCAACAACGTTTGCAGGTCTTAAGTATCGACAGGGGTGGTGAGATGGTTTTTTTGTTTGGTGTGGGGTTTGAGAAACTAGCTGGCTCATAACAAAATATGAAATATATTTTTACTGCAGCTCTATAATTTAAATAAAGCTCCATTGTGTGCTGTCAACGACATCCACATCGACTAACAACAACGGCAACAACCACACCAACAAATAGGAAATTAATAGCAATCAATGGAAAATTGTCTCCACGTTGTTTGGTTATGTGCACCTCGTACTCGTATTTTGTATGACTAATAAACTCTGATTATTATTACAAACATTAGCTACTAATATTTATTATTTTCTATTTTTTCATTATGAACTGAAAGTACGACGACGGTTACAGACTTTGTTTTAGATTAATGAACGGCAGATTTATGTACGTACATACACATCTACGTGTTTGTCTATTACGTCATTTGGTAGACAAATATAGTTTATAGATTTTTTAGCATGGCGATTTAATAATTGCTACTATTTCCCTCTATTTAAAAACGAGGAAAAATTAATTAATTATGGAAAATGATAATTAACTTGTCCGTTCAAATAGACGGCTTAAAATATTTTATTAAAAATGTCGTTTGGATGCAAATTGTTAAGAACGGTTTTATGATCATCACATGTAACGGATTATGGATCTCCGGGTATAATCTCGAAATATAACAGCAATCGACTGTGTGGATTTTTCATGACGAAACTAATCGAATGAAATTTGCTGGTGAATGTAGCACTTCGAAGTAAAATGTAGTCGGTTTCGTCGGGAAAACAGAGCTAGACACATGGTTCCTTTTGAGAATATGCATAGAATCTCTTTCTGAGTCGATTTATGCATGTCCGTCTGTCCGTCCGTCCATGTATTTTTGTGAGTAAAGTACAGGTCCTATTTATGATCCGATTTGGATGAAATTTGGCACAGCCCATTTGTTTGGCCCAAGGACGAACCCTATTGAAAATGAAGAAAATCGATTAAGATTTAGATATAGCTCCGAT